GAGACCCCTGAGACTATGGCCCCTAGCCATCCTTCAGGTCTGGAATTGAACACACTCCTGTGGCTTCAAGCCAAACAACAGACGGATATGGGGTGAATGTTTACATCAGATAGATACACTCCTTGGAGCGATCAATCATGGGAGAACAGAAGAGCAGTTTTTGTACAGAGAGCCGTTCAGGGAGTGGGAGTGCATGGTAGAAAAGGATGCAAGGAAGAGGTAATTATGGGGAGTAAGTGGGAAGAGAGCTGTTACACTGTGGAGAATTGCAGTCAACGTCATGAGACAAAATGTGTATGAACTGCTATATGGAAAATGAATTTGCTCTGTAAACTTTCACCCAAATCACAATAAAAATTTTAAAAAGAAAAAAATCTCAGCACACATGAGATCCAGCTATTGCAAATACTGAAACGAAACCTCATTAGCCAAAATCAAGCATTGCTTTATTTGCACATCTAAGAAAAGTTCAATCTTCAGAACTTAAAACTTTTAAAAGCTATATGAAAATATATCCTTACAAACTTTGAAGCCTATTTTACTATCCTACAGAAATATTTTTTGATCCCCAATCCTGCCACCTAAAACATAAAACAATTAGACAATGACCTTTAAATAATAAGAACAAAGTTTCTGACTATTCAGAAAACATTGTTTTAAGATTTACTTGGCATTTTGCATTTACCATCATAAAGCTTTGAGGCACAAAGGAATTGTCAATAAAACATCTATTGTAAGCTGCCATGACCTGTCATTACAGAGTCATTAAGCATCATTTTCAGGAGCTCTGGTAGCATAGTGCCTAAGGCACTTGACTGCTTACCAGAAGCTGGCGGTTCAAACCCACCAGCCACTCCTCGGAAGGAAGGTTGGGCAATCCTACTTTCGTAGTGACACTGCCTCGGAAACCCAAGGAGGGGTCGCTATGAGTCGGGCCAACTCAAAGGCAAAACAACAACAACAACAACAAGCATCATTTTCAAGAAGTAAGCAGAAAGGTTTTTGTTTCAAATATAGGTAATAACCTTCTATACTTGATAGGCTAAATAACTTGACTTCTGATAAGAATACAGAATATTTAAAGCTGTATTTCATAAGTTATAAAAATTAAATAATAAATTTTCGGCATCCTTCACAAAGATAAATAGCATGAATTAATTTTTTAAAACATAGGAACTCAATAATCAAACTCAGACTCTATGTATGTATGCACATACAAACATAATAAAATATTGAGAGGATGGCTAGCTTAAGGTACACAGAAAAAAACCACTTTCCTCAGAAAAAATTAAAAGATTAAATTTTATCTTTAATATAAAGTATTAATTATTAGATATTATAATTTTGGGACCCAAACTCATTTAAAGTAAAATGCATCCTATGTATTATATATTCTGTTATCTAACTGTAAACTGTTATTAAAGAACCAATGTCAAAAAGTATATATAGTTAGCTGATTATCCAATTCAAATCTATACCACTCATTCTGACGAGGTCCTTTGGTTGACATTAATACTTATCTGTTTCTATACAGTTCTACAGGGAAGATTATGTATACAAATGCTCTAAAAGGAAACGAAAGCATAAAATGCAGCAAACACAAGCAAGCAAGTACATCCAACAATGGCGTCAGGATTCCTACACTTATCTGCGAGATGATATAGCTGTCCAAAGCTTAAAGGGAGAGAATAAAATAGTTACGCAGGATACAAAAGTTAAGAAGCTTTCCATATTTCCCATGTCATCTTTTCTTAGCATTGTTAAGTTTGTTATTTTGTAGAAAACTGTGAATTCCCAGAATACTATAAGATTCAAAGAAATTTAGAAATGGAATGAAACTTCAAAGTTCCCTTTTCCAGGTGGCCCAATTTAAAGTTGTGAAGACTAAGCTTCAAAGTCAAGATCACAGCCCAGCTCTCCAGACGCTTTCCCTCATATTGCCCATGGAGATGCAATTACCAGTACCGAATAAGCTATTTTAAACAACCACCAGCATGTGTTAAAGAGAAAAATAATTTGAGAATTAAATGTACTTCACTTGGGAACAAAGAGGTAGAATCAACTCCTATTCTTTGGGTCTCCCTTCTTGTTCTGGGGGCCTCATAAGAACAAAGGACTAAGAATAGCAGAAAGGTCAACAAGCAGTGTCTTCAATCCCGTTTTCTATCTTCCTTCTTCTCAAGTCAACAAAATTTACGCTACTCCCTATATTACCTCTTTTTCTTGGAACTTTATCAGTAATCTTTCTTCATCTAAGAAAGAATAATGAAAAAAGTTATCCACCAACCTTTAATCATTTTCTTACTTCAGACTCTTATCTTTTCCTCTACTCTGAATATTCTAAATATAGTTCATGTTCTTGCTGTTTCTCATCTTGCTGTTTCTGTAGACTGTTAAGGTCTAAAGGCATGTGACTGTTGTTTTATTATGTGATGTGACAATGGAAATAATTCTGACTACCTCCAATGATTAAAATGAGATTTAGACATGACAATATACATGAAAGCACTTTGTAAATTGTACAGTTCATGATAAAAGTAGTATCCCTATCACAGTAGAATGATAAAGCATCACTAATTGTCATAATATAAGTAAGTAAACATTTTCTAGGAAATTATAGCTCACATTAGGAATTTAGCTAATCTTGAAAGAAATTAGTTTTCTGACATAACCCAAAAAGTTAAAGCTGTACACCTAACATTCAGCAAGTCATATATTTGTCAATGGTTAGTTTACTTAAAAGAAGTTTATATTTCTATAAATACTCAATTTTAGAACAAATTACTTTTATAACAAACTATTGCAGTTGTTTTCATATGATTATCGGCTGTCTATTAATCTAAATGATAAAAACTCACAAGTTTAAAAAATGATGGCAAAATTTCCAAAGCTAAAGAAAATTTATTACAGCTTTCTTAATATTGTCTTCATTTTCCTGAGCGACTTACTTAGGCATCATGCTCAAATAAAATTCTGATTTGTTTAAATGAACTTAAACGAAAATCTGTTCAAAATAGTAAGTAAAACAGAAGGTGGTTCAGCCTTTCTAATAGCTTAGTTCTAAATTAAGACACAGGTATTCAACCCACACAGAATAACATTTTGTACCATGATATAAACATCCATCTAAGAATGTTCACACTGACAGAAATTAAATTAATATTATCGAAAACTCTAGTAGCGTCCCTATTCTTATAAGATCAGTTAGGCTTAATGTCCAGTAGTTGAAATTAAATTGGATAAAATTAAATGAATTCAATCGACAAAAACTTCTTTAGAAAGATAAATACTACATCCAAAAAAAAGAAGCATCATTTTCATGGCAATATAAACCAAGTTTAATGCAGGATGAAAATAGCTCCTAGAAAAATAATCGGTTACTCCAAGCTTTTAATCATGTCTTTATTTTTTAGGCTACCCAACAATAACGTATAACACAATCTCCAAACAAAAGACTTAATTTAAAAATATCCAGAACTAGACCACACCATGAAACTCCTGTTCCTGTAACTTCTGCTTTTTCTATTTCTACATTATATCTCAAAGCAAGCATTCTTAATGTTCCCCAACATTTAATATAAATATCCTTCTAAAAAATTCTCAAGAACTATACAAATATTATAACTTAGTGGAAGTATGACAAGATCTTAAAAATGCCACTTAGTAAAAATAGCTTACTGGGACTGATAAAATAAACTAATTCTCAATCAAATCTTGTATTTAAACACTATCTTTCAAGCCTCAGTTCCTTAAAAATTAAACAAAGAAAAAGTTTTTAAAACAGTACCAAAAAAATAAAAAGCTTTTAAATAAACCCAATTTCCAATATAAAATCACCTTTATTTTCCCTTAGAGGGGGTATAGTTTTTTCTTTTTTCATACTGTTGACCTCAAGCATTGTATTTGTCTTCAGGTGCTACACCAAGTTAATTTTGAAAAGAAACTAATTCAATGTCCTATAGAATTATTTTTAAGGTTGAGACTAGTCATATTTCCTTTGCAAACTCTGTTAAAAGCCTTTTATTCAAACGCAAACATAAGTAAAACAAACTAATTTAATTTAGATACTTAACTAAACTGAGGCAAAATTACAAACAATGCTCCAATAAATGTTTTTGAAATATTCAGTATTTTTTGTTTTTATTTTCCACCCTGTCACTGTTCATTAGTCTACACCTAGCTTTATATCATTTTTGCTACTTATTAACAGCTCTGGTCAAAATGCACTCAAAAAGAATTCACTTTAAAAACAAAAGACTGTAACATAACTGAAAGATAATTTTTGTTTGATTTCTATTGGCACACAGAATCAAAGATCAAAAAAATATAAGTACCATATAGCTAAAGACAAATAACTATAATGGTCTATCACCCAGGACCATATAAAAAAGCCCCCAAAATAATTTTATTTCTAAATTAATGAGTGTCCAGACAAATGATGTAAGAAAATTAAGAGTGTCACTTTTTCCCTCAAAATCCCAACACTATATAAAGAATAAAGTCTACATCACTTGAGGAACCTTAAAAAAAAAATCACATCTAGATATACAATTATTCAACGAAAGATTAGCCATAACATTTAAATTACCAAGGGAAAAAAAATCAAAATCAAAAAACTCACTTTATATAGTATCTTGCACCTTCAAAAGTATACGCTTCTTCCCAGCCAGTAGGCAGATCTAAAAAACATATATATTGTAATTAGCGTTACTTCAGTAAGGTAGCAAAATAAAAATTTCAATCTATCTTAATTATCAGTTTTCACAATTAGCTATTTTCATTAAGGAGATCTCTAATTTTTTTTTTCCCCCCAAGTGTTAGACTGGTAATGAAATTGGCAGTAGATACAGCATTATTTTTGGGAAAATGGCACTTGAAATTTAAAGCCAATAGAAAAGCATCAAAAATATTATAAATAATCTGATAAAATTATAATCTTTATTCATCAGGGCGGAGATAACCGTGCTCTGGCAACCAAAAAAAAAGCAAAGGGAAGCCTTCTAATCAGAGGTAAAATACCCATGAACTGTCGGCAAAAAAACAAAACCTGTGCATCAAAGGCAACGCCTGCCCTTTTCTTAGGCATATACTTAGTAGGTATTTCTCAGATGCATAAACAAATGCATCTAGGAAGTGCCACTGATGAGAAAGAACCACTTTCTAAGTACTCAATTAGGGGAAAAGAAATGATACTGCATACTTATACTTGTGCATTTCTACATGCTTGACTTTAAAAGATGTGAAGTTTCAAGCAATAAACCTGGGAATGATTCAGGAGAGTATGTGCTATATATTACTTATAAATGACAACTGACTTGGATTTAATCATAATTAATAACTCTCTGACATAAAAAGCCATTGGTGTGTGTATATAACTACAGTATCAAAGCAAAGTAAACCAACACAGAAAAAAACATGGGAAACCATAGAAGAGAATAAAATTTTTCTTCATTGTCAATGTTATCAAATCCATGGAGGTAGTCATGAAACTTAATTTATATTACACATAAGAAAACAAGCATAAAAAAAATCCGTAGAGTGATTTGGCTAAATAATTTAAATAACCATATTGTCTTTTATGAAATATATTACAGCCCACAAAGGAAAAGAGGCCATCAAAGTTGAAATATGTATGCAAAACACTGTAAAGGTATATTAAACTCAAAGACTGCACCAGGGACTTAAGAATTATGATGGTGTATTAGAAATGTCTTTAAAACGTAAACTCATCATGCTTGCTACACCAGCCTTTCCCTTCCTCCTCCACCTTTCTGCAAACTGGAGACATTAGTCACTTCACTGAACTCCAGCATTAATAGAAAAGGCAGCCTTGTCCAATATCCCGTCAACTTTAACAGATTCAAAGAATCTCAGAGTTACAAATAAAGTACTCTGGAGGGCAGCTCTACAGGAATGCTAAAACTGGTCTCATCTTCAACCCAAACTGTCTCAAGCTTTTCCAATCGCCTGAAAGAGAGGCAGACCACTAAGAGAACACATGTTATATTTCAAAGACAAACAAGTTTCACGAATGTAAACAAAGAATGACAAAAGAAAGCCAGACCAGCATGGAAGCTACAAGCAACCCTTCTCAATCTCAAATCACATTCAGCATTCAAACAAGCTACCAAAAGCAGCGGAGAGTTCGGTTTCCCCGCCAATCTCCTCCAATTAGGGCACAAATGCCCCTATAGGGACCCGCCTAGAGTCCCCACCGCCTCCTGGCGGTCTGTGCAACCTCTGGGTTGCTGCTAGAGACTTTGAATCTAGATCGCCAGCAAACACCGCCTCCGACTCAGATTGCTCCTCCCGTGGCAGGAGGGAAAACGCTAAACGTTCCCTGAGCTAATAATCTCTGTCACAGAGAAGATCACAGCACCCCCAAACTCCTCTACTCCTCTTCTATCAGCCACCTACCCACAAGTCCCACCTAGGAGGAGGAGGAAGCTGCACGGTAGGAGGCAGCTCTCTGGGGAGGAGGGAGAGGACGTGGATACAGGTCCTGGCCGACGTGTGGCAGGGTCCCGACAACAGGGAGGGGAGAGGACTTCCCAAAGACTGATCGAGAATGAGATGGGAGCTGGGGGCGACTGGGAGATGCAGGAGTGGCGGCGGATGAAAAAGCTCAGGTTTCCAGGGAGAGGGGAACCGGCCACATTGGGGCTGTGGGTGTCCAGATTGGGATGAGAAAAGAGAGTGCCGCCTCCGAGAGAGGATGAACAGCGAAGGAGAAAGGGGCTTCCAGAGACTCAAGAGAATTCCCGGCGGCGGTGCCCCTGCAGCTCTTCTACCTGCGGCCGCGCGGCTATCGCCCACCTCCCCGCCTCCGGGATAAGGCAGCTTTGGGCAGGTTGCTTAGAGCCGGGGCGGCCCAGGCTCTGCCGCCTCCTCTCGGCAGAGCCCAACTCCGCTCGGGCCCGGCCAGGCTCAACGTTACCTGTGCTTTGCCGCCGGTGTCCGGTGACCACAGCCTCGCCGGTGACCGGGTGCAGCCAGGTGGTGCTCTTCGCCTCCTCGCTGCAGGGGTGAGAGAAGGGGCAGAGACCCAGCGTAAGTAGGGGCGCGGGAGCGAGCCGAGGGGGCTGCAGGGGCACAGACCGGGGCTCTCTCCTCCTCTCGCCAGCCTCCCTCCCTCGCTCCCTCTCGCACTCTCCGGACCCCCCGCGCCCTCCCCGTCTCTTTACTTGATGAAGAATACTCGGCCGCCCCTAGTGATCCCGTAAGTCCAAGATCGGGGCAGGGAGCAGATCCACTCCAGGTTCAGATCCGCCGCCATGTCTGATCCCCAGCCGCCGCCGCCGCCTTCTCCTGCTGCCGCCGCGGCTGCCGAGGGAGGAGGGAGCCAGCGAGCGA